CCAAGATTGTTCTTGAAGGCTCAATAGGTCTTTAGTGAAAGCAGGTCCAAAGCAAGCACTCCTTCATTTTCAGAAGGTTGTAGTAGCAGCAGAACAAGGAAATGACTGTATGTCTGACTTCCAGACACATCATGGTCTTAATTTCAGGGTTGACAGTATTAAGATTTTCCCCCGGTTAGCTCTAGCTCCCTCCCTTTCTCCTGCTCTGGTTTGGATACTAAGCACAATGTCGGGTTTGGGGTGTTTGCTGAAGAACACAGAATACAGGGACGGCTATCTGGCTCTCCTCAAATTGCAGCCTTCTCTATCTGCAGGCATGGGATTTCTTGTGGGAGCAAGGAGGAATGGTAAACAGCAAGTTGCCTACCTAAAATGCAGACAGCACGTCCTTGCTGACATGACAGATGGCAAGGTGCCAAGTAAGAAGGAGCTCTGCTGTGCAATATGCCCATCTCATCAGCAAAGACTTGAGGCAAAGACTGTGAACCACAAAGCCTCTAGTGAGCTATCTGTTTATTATCTGTAGATCAAGGATTTTTCATTAGAGCGTGGCAGAAATGTTTCACATTTGTTTGTTTTTCAGAAACCATTGCAGTCAGTTCACACCAAGACACAAACAAAGTGTAGAACACATTATCTGATGCCAACAGGGCTTTTAGAAGGGCTGGATGCAGAACTGCCCAATAAGGGCTAATGTGCTGCTGGAAACAAGAACTTCATGTTGATGGCCCTCCACAAAGGTCTGGTTCTAACAGATTTTTACACTGCAAAACGTTGAATCTGTTGCATAATAATGATAAAGTGATGTGGTTTTTTTTTCCATAAACCAAAAAATGAGACCATTCCAAAATCAAACTGGAGCCTGGTGGTGTTAAGGAAATGTATTTTGCCTTGCTCGTGGTGAAAACTCATCGGTAGTGGCTTTTGTGCTTGACAGACTGGCATTTTCTGAAGGAAGAACAGTCCACTAGGAATTATCTAACCAATTGTAGAGCTAACATCAGAATTTGTAGCAGGCTGCTTGTTTTCTGTTTCTTTGTTTGTTATTTTCATTCTTCAAGAACTCCTACTGTACTTCCCAAGTCAATGGATGTTTCTCCTGAAAACATGGCTCCAGAGAGAGAGGCTTTTGACACCAAATCCCCCTCCCCAAGTGGCAGTGGTACTGTGCCGATTCGTTGTGTACTGGTATACAGCTACCACATTTCACTTCAGCAGCAGTTGTACTTCATTTATAAGCAAAATGATTCATCTGTGAATATGAAAAATATGGAAAAATAATGCAGCTCATGGCTAATTTCCACTAAGGGGCAGCTTGTGGGTGAGGGCTGGGTATAAGAAGATGCAGAAGTTGGTAATTATGATTTAACTGATAATTTTACAGTTCTAAAAGCTTGTGCTTGTGAATGGGGAGAAGTGAACAAGATCTTCTATAAATAATATTTTTCCTAGCCTTCTAGCTAGGAGAAGCAAATTATGATAACATTTGACTAATATACAAAATTATTTGAATGAATAAAAGAAACTGATTGATTTTTCCATTAGTCCCATCAGACAGAAGCAGCAGAACACCTGATCAAAGTGAGTGCAACAAATGCAAAGTGTTGAAGGAAAAAGAAGTAGTTGGAAATACCTGGAAATACCTCCTGTCTCCTTTTTATTTACCATGGAGTCAATTAGGAGCACTTCTGCAAAAACAAATGTGATCTTCATGGGGTAAAAACAATGGAAATGGGAATTGAAAACATATGTCTGAAGTGTTGCAGAAGACAGCAACCAAACCTTCAGTATGTAAGCTGTGTGGGTGGTGTGAGGAGAGCTGCTTTCCTTAACGCTTCCAGGATTACTTGGGCAAAGTTATTCTGTTCTTTTTTTCCCCTTGGAAAGACGACAGAAAACACAGAGATTCAGAGAGGCTGCGAATAATATTTTAAGTGCACCCTCAGTGAATTTGCAGATGGCACCAAGTTGGGAGGAAGTGTTGATCTGCCTGTGGGTAGGGAGGCCCTACAGAGGGATGTGGCTAAGTTGGATTGCTGGGCTGAGGGCAATTGTATGAGCTTTGAGAAGGCCATGGGCCAGGTGCTTTGGTCACGACAACCCCAGGCATTGGTACATGCTTGGGGCAGAGTGGCTGGAAAGCTACATGGAGAGTAAGGACCTAGGGGTGTTAGCTGACAGCTGGCTGAACGTGAGCTAGTAGTGTGCCCAGGTGAGCAAGAAGGCCAATGGCATCCTGGGTTGTGTCAGAAATAGAGCAGCCAGAGGAGCAGGGAGGTGATCAGCCCTCTGTACTCAGCTTTGGTGAGGCTGCACCTTTAGTGCTGTATTCAGTTTGAGCTCCTCGCTACAAGAAGGACACTGAGGCCATGGAGTGTGTGTGTGTGTGTGTGTGTGTGTGTGTGTGTTGAGCAGCCCTGGGGTAGTAACTGTCCATATAGAAGCACTTTGAGTTTCCAGTTTCTCTCACCATCTTCTGCTCATGCATGGAGTAAGCTGCACAGCCACCGTGAGGTGGATTAACAGCCCTGCTCTGCAAGAGCAAACCTTAAGTCAGCACAATGTTGCATCTGCCAGAATCAAACAGGGTAGCACTGGCAGAAAACACCCCTCCTCTCCCAGCACACAGCCCTGTGCTTTTCAGTCAAATGCCTGTATTTTATTGCAGGACTGCACAAACACTTGGGAGGAGAGCAACTAATCTAAAGGCTTATTGCCATGCAGAAATCTCTGTGCCTTCTGGATCTCTTCCTCTGAAGCCACTGTGAGAATGGACACATCAATACAGCCTTCTGCGGGAAAGCTGACACTCTCAAATCGGTGCCATGCTGCAATAACTGAAACCCCCTGCCAGCTTGGTGATGGTGCTTTCTAATCAACTTTGCAATGAATATTTCTTAAATCATGTTAATCCACCATTTAAGCAGAGATAGCGGTTCCAGACAATAAAGCACCATACCTGGAGGGGAACATACCTGCTGCTTCCCCAGAGAGGAGGCAATTAGCAGTGCAAGTGATGTCAGATGAGCTGGCAACACCAGCATTTATCACCCCAAGCTTGTTTCCTGCAACTAAAAGAATCTTCACACTCTGCTTCTGTTGCAATCAGCTTTTATTTATGTTGTTGTGGAAAGCAGCTCTTAAAGGGAAAGTGAAGCTGCACTCTCAGGAGCAGTTTTATTCTGATCTACACAGATGCATTTCCTGCTGGAATATGCTGAATGCTGAACTCTCGCGTGGAAATGAGAGTCCTAAAATGAAAGTAAGCAGGATGCAGTGCCCAGCGTTTAAAATCCAAGCCTGGAGACCCACAGACCTTGATGAAGCATTGATGAAGAGGCTGTGCAGCCTTTTACATGAGTGTTTTCATCTTCTCCTTTTCCCAAGCTCCTGTGGACCAGCTGCTACAGGAAGTGCTGGCATCCCAGCCCAAAGAGACTGCAGTCCAAGCAGAAGGCATTTCTGAACTCAAGACGTTGTTATGGAAGGAATGATATACTGATATGTTTTGCTGTTAAGCCCCAAGCTAAGCTTTGGGAACATTCCCTGCAGAGGAACTGCTCTTGACAAATTGGTGGTGGTAGCTTGAAAAAGAGAGGGTAATTTCTTGGTTTTATTATCTAACCTGCTGTGCATACACCTGGGCCATTACCTGGGCTTGCTGGCTCAGCTATGCCTTAACACAGTGCTTGCAGTGAGCTAATCGTGCAGGCCCTTAGGTGGCCTTCGCAGCCACTGTGGACTGTTATGTTCCTTGTGGAGGTAACCAAGCAGACCCGAAGCCAGTCTCATTGCTATTGCATCAGCTGTAGCTTCAGAAGAAGAAACAGAGGGATATTCATGTGAGAAGGGACCTTCAAGTCCCATCTCTGCTCAAAATCAGGTCTGATTTGGAAGATATTGCTGATGGCCTCATCTACCTGAATGTCTCCGTGGGTTGGAGATGCTCCAGCCTCCTCATGCAGCTTTTCCAGGGCTGAACCATCCCAAAGTTGTTTTGTTTTGTTTTGTTTCTTTCTTATCACGTGTTGTTTCCTTTGCTGTTGCTGGTGTCATTTCTCAGCTCTTCTGCTGCCCCTTTAAGAAGAGTCTGGTTTCTTGGGAGCCCTTTGTGGAGAGCTGACTGCAATGAGGTTTCTTTCTCCCAGTTGAACAGCTTAACTTTTAGCCTCTCTTCTGATGCCATGTGCTCCTGCACTCTGACCATTCCGGTGAGCTTCTGCTGGATTTACAGTGCTTTCAGGGCCAGTCTTATATTGGGTAGCACCAAACTGGACATGTTACTGCAGGAATGGACACAAAAGGGCTGTGCAGTGGGTAAGGATCCCCTTGATCCCTGGCTATGCGCCAGCTCATGTAGCTCAGGATGCACTTGGCTTTCTTTACTGCAAGAATACGTTGCTGGCTCACTTTTAACATGCTGTCTACCAGGATGTCACAGGCTTTTTCTTCAAAAATGGGTTTATAGGATGTAGGAATACATTTAGAATTGCTGCCAAGCACTGCATCTCAGAGGATATTCTGCATGCCATTCCCACTGCTTTTGGGCTTGTTTAGGTTCTGTTTCACCTTCCCAAAATGAAGAACATTCCCTCTTCCCACATAATTCATAGGATCATAGAATATCCTGAGTTGGATCCTGGAGTTCGACTCTGGGCTCCACATATCATCACCCTCAGCTCTGATAGCGTGTTTCTTGGTGAGTCCTCCCAACCTATGCCCAGTGTCACTGCTGCATTTCCTGGTACGAGAAGGATAGCCTGGAATTGTCGTGTATGCAAATGAATCTTGTTTTCCTGTAAAAATGGCTGCATCTGAAACCACAGTAAGCCGTGGGAAACTAGACTATCAACTTTTATACATACAGAGATTTAACTGTGTCTGGCAGAAGAAATGCATTTGTGTGTGTATACATATGGTATCTGTATGAAACACCTGCGTCGTATTGTTTGGTTTTGGCCTTGAACTTGAATTCAACCTGATTGTGTTTGCTAAGGGCAGGGCAAAAGCTGCCCTATAAAGGAGCACTAGGATAACAGCAGCCCATCTGTCGCCTTCTTGGATTTGGCTGAAGGGTTCCACTGGAGGCACTGCAGGTAAAACATCACTTTGCTATTTTACTTAGTGTGAGATAAAGCAGGCAAAACGCAAGGAGTAGTGCTGGAAAGTACCACAGTAACACTGAGAAGGATTCGTCTTGGGGAGACAGAATAAATTAGAGTCCCTGTCTTTAATGTTGCATGGAGGGAAAGAAAAAAATTTGCCATCCTACAAAATGCCTAACAGTAAAACAGCAAGTTGTCAGAAGTAATCAGATCAGGTGGGAGCAGAGATCCTCAGAGGAGGAGGACTCTATGGTTACTGTGTGCTGCTGCTAAATGAGGCAGAAAAAAAGGTAACTGGAATGTCCTTATGCTATGTAGGAAAATAAATAGCCAGAAAGAAGTACTTCATAGACTAGTTGGAACAGAAGGTTGTATCAGATACTACAGGGAAAGCAATCTCTAGGAGGGTTGCCAAAGTGCCTAGCTTTGGGCTTGAATTTTCTGGGGGAGGTGGGGTGGTGCTCATGGCTTTTTTATGCTGTATGTTGTCTGTCTGTCGGAGGGTTTGGGACACCCAAGTTCAGGTCCCTGCTCTTCCTGTACAGTTGGCTGTCACTGAGGGCAGTCTGCCGAGATCCAGCATGCTCTCATTTGTTTTTCCCTGAGTGCAAGGAGAGCTAATGAACTCCCACTTTCCTTCATTATAAGGCCATTTTGGAACTGATTCCTCGCAGTTTTTACAGTACTCCAGGTACATGAGTGACAGGGTCTTACAGGAAAAGAGGGCTTGCATTACTGTAGCATGTATCGAATACTGTGTGAGATTAAATTATACACTGACGTTTTGGTGTGCTTGAGAGGGAACAGGAGAAGAACGGCTGATGGCCTTTTAGCCTTCCTGGGATTCTTCTTCGTTCTTGAATGCAAATACAGCAATCTTAAAGTACAGAAACCCAGCCGAGCCAACATGTATCAGAAATGTTCTGAACAAAGTGGATGGAGAGGAGAAGGTGGATAGCTCAGTGATGAAGCTAATTGCTTATTTCCACTTCCTACTCAGTGAAAACTATCAGAAGCCACTGAAGGAAATAATGCGTGTACTCTGACATAAATCTTTGTGCAAAGTATAATTAGCTGTCAGTAGCATTTGCCACCGCTGAGTATCTGATTATAACAGTGGTTTGACATCTTTTGTGAATGAATCCAGGAGAGTGAAGAGACTTATCCTTTGCTGGTGGCTTTTAAGTTGTTTAATGCAGAAAACAGTGGGTGCTTGGGGTTACCCAGTCAGTTTCCGCCCTCCACATGTCTCACGACTGGGAACAGTCCAAAGGCCAAGCATTCCATTACAGTTTTGTCCCTTTGTAGCCTTTCTGCCTCAGAGTTCACTAACTGTAAGGTTCTCCCCAGCCAGGCAGGCAACATTCTGTTTTAAAAGCTGTTGTGATCTCCCTGTCTCTGTTGCACCTCTGGGAGCCAAGTGAAGAGGACATATGGCCAGGGCTGCTCTGAAAGGGGTGGCCAAGTGGGGGCACAGTGCTAGCTGGGGAGCACTGACCCCATCAGAGACAGAGCTTGTGTCTCTGTGCACATGTACGCTCAAACACCAACAAAGTGATTCTTGGAAGACCAGAAGTAGTTAAACGTATTATTTTCTTCAATCTGGTTGCCAAATTATTTCGGATATGTTAAGCAACGTAATTAAACGCACACAGACATGCGCTAAAAGCTCGTGTTCTTTGTCAGAAGAGAGGGAGCGCGTGTCAGCTCCAGCCTTCAAGCTCTGTTAGTTTTAATTTGAGTTTTGGAATTAGTAATCAGTTTTGCTGGAACACTGTTGCAAGAAATAGATCTTCGCATGCATGGGGCTTGGGCACAGTTTCAAATGAGTATTTGTTAAGAAGAAGCCATTCCCTTGTCATGTTATGGTACATTACATGAGATTTATTTCCATTGTATTAAAAACTGCAAGCCCAAGGGGAATGTTCTCTCATCTTGTTGGCTAAGGGTGATTTCTGAAATCTATAGGAATTATTTTTTTTTCTTCTTTTTCTCTCTCTCTTTTTTTTTTTTTTTTTTTTTTTTTTTGGTGGGGCTTTTAATTAAGATAATAGAACACAAAATCTCCTTGTTTTTCTGTGCTGTAGTTACAATGCAAGATAGCCAAGGGACTTGAAGCACCGAGATGGGTGGTAGCACTAAATGTGGGGCAAAGTGCCTGGGTCATACCTACACTGGGGCTGTTCTGGGCTCAAGAAATCCAAGGCTTAGCTCTTATTGGAGCCTTTTGCTCCAGATCCAGCAATCTATTTGCTTGATAGGAAAGACTTTTTACCTACTAAAAGAAATTTTTAAAGCAATGGCATCCAGTGACTTGAAAGTGAAGCTAAACAGCAGGCTAGATATTAGCACAGCAAAGTTAATTAAAGGAGGAGGATGCCTCGCCCACGGCATGTGGTAGATTTTCCAGTGCTAACTGTTAAATCTGGCTGGTGTAGAATTTCACCATATATATGAATAAATGCCTTCTCCTAAGCGAATTGTACCTTGCCTTGTGAATTGTATAAGTTGAAGCATTTTAAAAAAGAGGGGTTCATACTTCAGGGCACCACTTCAGATTGGATAGCTAATGGCTGTCTGTGTCCCTCCTCCTTCACAGGAAAGGGGCACAATGCTCAATCTCAGCTCAGCTCTGAGGTTGGAGCAAGGCATGCAAACAGCAGGGACAACAGGAGGCCTCCAGAACCTGAGGAAATTTAATAATCAGGACTTTGAGCACCTGCGATCCCTGTGTCTGAGCCAAGGTCTGTTGTTCAAGGATGACACCTTCCCTGCTGATATCAGCTCCATTGGTCCTAACCTGCTCCCAAAGGATGAGCTGCAGCACATAATGTGGAAGAGGCCAAGGGTGAGTTTTGCTAGCCAAAGTGTTTCGTGTAACTGCTGCTGGATGTGAGTGCTGATGCCTTCATCTTGAGGTCTGTGCTAAGCAGGGAAATGTAACCCAAGGGGAACACTGGGCATGCAGCACTGAAAGAAGGCATCCTTTGTTGTGGGACATGTGGGAGGAAGTTGACCTATTGACAGTATCTTCTTCTGCCATGTCTAGTGTGTGAACTGCCTTTTGCAGACCAGGGGAGCAAGGAGAGGGATGCTGTAAACATCTGTTTCGACCTGAAAAGTGAGCTGATTTGGGATGGGAGTTCCTGGAGGGGTAGGTCAGTCATCTGAAATGTCCCTTTTCCTAACTGTGCAGTAGCTGTGGCTTTCCATTAGATGGGAATTGCTCCAGACCTGTTTTTCAACACCAAGCCCTCATGGTAGAGATTTTTGCATGTGGTGCTTCAAGCATTAATCGTCCCTTAGTGAAGACTTGTGGAACATCTGCTACTGCACTTAGTATCTAAAACATATTGGGGAAAACAGTAAAATTTCAGACAATGCTTGTCTTGTGGGACTCACTACTTATTTAAGTCATAGAAGTTTCATTATTTGATACAGTCATTTTGCAGAAGGGCTTTCTCACATTTGACCTCTCCTCCTCCTCTGCCCTTTGCAAAGTAGGTGCAGGTATTTCAGGAACAGAATGCTTATCCTAATTCTACACTTCTTTGGGTGATGCTTTGTTTATTGACACTTTCTTTAATTCCCAGAGATTTCCCGGAAACAGCATCAACATTAAAGAAATCTGAACACAGAAACTGAATAAACAGAACCGAGCCGTTAAAAAAAAAAAAAGGGTTTTGGAATTAGGATCTTTGCACACAGCTAAGCTGAGCTGCAGTTCCTGCTGCATCAGTCTTGGCTTATCTGTAGCCAGAGGGGAGAAACAGACAACTTCTATTCAGACAATAAAGCAGATGGTAGCTTGGAGTTAACCTAAAAACTTAGCTTTAATGGCATGGGGGAGGAATGCAGAAACACCTATCAAATACAAAGAAATAAAAATAGAGAAAACAAATGTACATAGTCGTGTAAGCTGCCTTAAGCAAACTATGGAAATGTGAGGCTCCCTTATATCCTGTTCAGTATTTCTCCTTTCAAAGTCTTGAGGTTTGTCCCCTATTTACCTCCTTTGTTTGTAGTTGCCATTGTGTTTTAGGCTGAACCACACAAAGGAGTTGCAGGTGCAATCTGAATGGGTTTCTGCCTCCAGTGATGGCTGTTCTCCAGCAGGGCTTTCCTCTCAGGCTGGTGGGCTCCCTTCTGTGCAGTCCAAGCACCTCTGTCCCAGCTGCGACAGAGAGTTGGGGCAGGTTTTGAAGGCACTGAGGTATTTGTGCTGAAAAGATGTGAACGGGAATTGAGTTATCCTGCTGCAAAGCAAGAAATTGAGTTCTGGTGGTGCAGGCAAAACCCCTTAAGAATAGCCTGTTTTTTCACATCTAACTGTTGATAGAGCCTCGAGACAAGAAAGTCCTTTGACCCCCAGTGGATGGAATATATATGGATGTATGCAGGAGGAGCAGCAGAGCTTACTTTTCACCACCCTATCAGACAGCATTGCAACGGGCAGACCTTTGGTCTGAGCCAGCGCTGCACATTCCTTGTTCTTCCTTCCCTTGTTAGTCTGACTGATTCACTTCTGTGCTGGCTACTCTGTGGAGGTTTCCTGTGGATTCGGGTGTGCAACATCAGTGTAGCCTGATTCATCCTCAGCACAGAGCTAGGAAATTCCCTCAGCATGGAGAACAGCGGTAGCGGCTTTGCCTCTTAATCCAGAGCAATGCTGTAACAGGCACAGCAGTGTTGCTGAATTAAGATTTGTCTAGCTGCGACGACAGTTTAGCTTCCAAACAACACCAATCTTTTTATTATTCTTCGCTTCCAGGACACTAATAAGCCACAAACAAAAATATATCTTCTTCAGAGTTAAAGTTACAGCAACAGCTCAAGCTGGGTGTTTCTGAGGAAGGACTGCAAGCAAAGAAATCCCTAGGCAGTTTTGCCCTTACACTCTACATTCCCAAGCCCTCACCTGGCAGTCCAATAGTACCAATATCTGGAAGTCTTTCTGCTTTGGATTGGTTCCATTCATTGTCTCTAGGTGAGCTGTTTTCTCCTGTCTGCAGGATTTATGACTGCTGATGGCTGTGGTCTGTCAATGCAGTTTTTCTTAATTTCTTATTTTCCAGTTGGAGCTGGCTCTGTAGCCCTCCTTACTTGCAGATGTGTAAAAGTTCATCAGTCTTAGGCTTCTGCTAATTTAGCTACTAGTGCTAAGCAGGATCTATACAGCATTCTATTATACAGGTAGTGTACCAAACACAGAAATGGAAGAACCCAGGGGAAAATACTACAAAGCCTCATAATGGTTTCTTGTGAAACACAGCAAACTTTCAAGAAACGTAAATCTAGCTCCTGTGTTTATCATGCAATTTGAGTGCTAATGGATTGTGAAGTCTGCATACCAATGTGCAAAGTAACTAGGCACATAGCTATGCTTTCAATAACAGCCAGTAGTTCCTGATGCTTTATGCCCACTGTATTTCCTTGGAAGAATGAGGAGCTAATTGGAGACTTCCTTTCCTCCCTTTCCTTCTGCTGGAAAAGGGCTAGGTTTCTAAAGTGCTGCTCCCATCACAAACATAGAGTAGACTAGAATAGAAGAACGGTTGAGATGAAAGGGACATACAGATGTCATTAGGTCCAGCCGCCTGACCGCCTCGGGGCTAACCAAAAGTTAAAGCATGTTAATGAGGACATTATCTGCTTTGGCAGGGGGGTTGGACTCGAAGATCTCTGGAGGTCCCTTCCAACCCCTACAATTCTGTGATTCTGTGATCCAAACGCCTCTTGATCACTGACAGCCATGGGGAATTCACCACCTCACTAGGAATCCAATTCCATGAAAACTTTATGGTTTGACAGCTGGGCACAGAGCCCTCTGAAAGGTGTTTGTAGCATTGGACAAACCCAAATGAGAAGCCAGTTAGGGACTCAGAAAGGGGCAGGAACTTGTGGTTGGCAGAGGCTGGGTCCCTACACTTCTCTTGGCATTTTCTTTCTTTCAGGAGCTTCTGAGAAACCCCTTTTTTGTAATGGATGGAGTTAGCAGATTTGATATTATTCAAGGAGAAATAGGTAAGCTTATTCCTGTTTTGGAAAAGATTGACAGGGAACAATAACCTGTGCTTGCTTTGTGATTCTGAGTTCTTGGTGGGAAGGCATGAATCATGGTAACTTCGGTAAACAGTGTAGTTCACTCCAGACTGCTGCAAGTCTGCGTGCAATTTATTGGAGATATTTAACAGGATTACCAAATGCAGGAGCTCTAATCCCTGCTACTTTAGCATATATGGCACCCTCTCTCTCTATATAAGGACAAGGTCTAAATAAGTCCAGGTAGAAACTTTGAATACAAGGGTTAAATATAATTATTGAGTAAGTAGGTACAGCTCTGATATGTATTTCATCCTAACATCTCCATCTGGTCACTCTTACTGTTTTGTGTTTTTTTCTTTTCCTATAATACTTCTGTCCATCTTCTACACTACTCAGACAGATGTGTGTCTACATCTTATATCAGTTCCATCTTTTCCTTCCAGCTTATAATCATCTTTGTCTTTGAGAGCAGCTCCCGTACTGTAAGAGCTGTCTTCCTTTTTCTCACCTCACTGGGAGCTGTGAAGGTTTTCTATGGTACTTTCTAGACTGCAGATCTCAACATGACCACAAAAGATAAGTATGAAAGTAGCCAAGGATTGTTAAGTGGCATCAGGGCTCTCATGGGGCATTACTGGTGAATGCTAGGTTGCTTTTCAATGTTTTTGAAGAACAGAAGGAAGACAGAAGAATACTGGGTTCTGTTAATAAGCTGCTTCTTAGATGTCTAAGTCTATTCTTCTGATGAGCCAGTTATTGTCTGCAACAGTGAATAACTTACTGAATGGTCTGGATTTTTCCCTTCCTCGAGGTGACTGCTGGATGCTGGCTGCCCTGGGCTCCCTGACAATGCAGAAGCGATTTTTGGAAAATGTTTTACCAAAGGACCAAGGATTCCAGAGTGATTATGCTGGGATTTTCCATTTTCGGGTAAGTAATCTGCCATATTTGTACTGCTCAGGCTTGGCTGGTTGGATTATTTGGGGATCCGAAAATCTCAACATCCTCGAGTGCTTTTGTTCTGAGAACCAATTAAGAACTCTGTGGTAAATCCCAAATTTTCTAGTGGGTCTTCCTTTTCCAGGTGGTACAATCAAACTCCTGGGAATTTGAAGCTCTTTCTGAAAGTTATGACTTGTCCCCACTCCAGAGGTATAGGTACCAGTTGTTTGGATGGATCTGTGTACACAGATAGTCTAGATGATGTTCTGGTTTCTGCTTTGATTTGTTGTGGCTGTCAGTGCACTTATGGTTTTTATCTACTTGGACTCATTTTCTGTTTTCCAGTATGTTTCAACTTTCCCTATTAGCTGGGTAGTATTTACTTGAAATTGCAAATCCTGGGAGACAGGTCAGAGGAACGGATTCAGAGAGAGGAGCAAAGTCCTGTAGTAAATTTCACTTCCTACCAACTCTTGATATCCTCTGAATCTCTCAGGTAAGAGACAGGGAGATGTGAGTGACTGTCAGGCCCTGCTTGCTTGCATCTGAGTCAATCAAATATCTTATGGGATTAGAAGCATTTGCCATACCATTAAGCTCTGAAAGCTAAATGGGAACTAGAGAGAATCTGTATATTACTTGGCCACTCATCATTTTCCTTTTTTCAGAAGTCTGTTTTGCTATACACAAAGAGCTCTGGCAGTGACACTTCTTTTACCCCTTGGAGCTCTCATGGATCAGCACCAGGAAGATTATCTCATAGGCAGGATAAATTTCTGCTCCTTTGCTCCTCTGAATATCAGATGTTCCTGCCTTGGCCCTTTTCCAACATGCAGAGGTGCATTATGTGAGGCAACCCAGCTGAAGGGATTCTAGACCACTTAAATGAAAAAGATGCAAGCTAAATTTTCTCTCATGAGAGCTCTGAAAGGATTAGTTAGGAACAATCCTTAAATCTTAAGCAATATAAATACCTTTTGTATTTGAAAATGTTTTTCCTGACATCTCATCTGCAAATCAATACAACTGTTTCTGGCTTTCCTCAAGTGATAAACCCCTGAGAAAGCTACTGGGAATGGAAATGACTTCTCGGCAATGTCTTTCAATTACTCCATCACAGACGTTTTACTGCCATCCACAGGCAAAGCCACCAGACCTCAGTTCAGTGAAGAATCTCAAGACAAATCATATAAGCTCCAATTTTTGTATTAGAATAATGTTTTCCTTTCTGGGTCTGGAGTGCATTGCCTCTCAGCAGTACGAGGGGTTGCTCCAGGCTTCCTCCACAGTGCCGGCTGCTCATCAGCAAGAATTAAGGGTGTTAAGCTTTTCATCAGCAGTAGTTAAGATGAATAGCATTTTTGTCTAGAGAATACTTACAATGATTTTATTTCACCAGGGATGTTTAAAGAGCTATGTAAACTATGCAACTGGGACGTCAGGCTCCACGTAACCTCCAAAAACTTAAAGGACCTACGTGGATTAAGTTAGTCTTGTGTTTTTACAGGAATCCCTTTTTCTGCTACATAAACTGATACCTCTGAGGCAGGGTCTGCCACATGTGAGCAAGGTACTCCTTGTTCAGCCTGGGAAAAGAAACAAAAATATTCCTCAGGGACTCCAAGGGCTTATGGCAGAGTGCATCAACTTAAAATGGGAATCTGACCTGATCTGGTCTTGTCCTTTTCTAAAAGAACAGCTCACTTTGAGATTTTTCACTGGCCAAAGCTGGTGAAATAAAATGGTAGACTAAATCTATTGCTGGCATACTTCCACTGGAGGCCTTAGCATTACTGCAAATAAGAACTTGGCCTCTTATGACTGTGAATCATGCTAAGGTACATTAATCTGCTAATGACTCTGGAAATGGCTCCTTTAGGCCATCCCCACGGACATCCTTTCCAGCCTTCTCCATTAAAGGGTTCCATCAGCTGGAAACATCTGCTCTGTCCACTACCTGCATCCTCCTCATCTATCGAGGAGATGGATAACACCTCAAAACGATCTTTAGTCACTACACTGTCCCTCTGCACAACTGCACATATCTGAGTCTTAATTGAAATATGGAGAAAGGAAAATCTAGGGACCTGATCTTGACAGAGACTCTCTGGACAAGGCTGTGTTGCAAGGGAAATCCAAGTGTGAGGCTCACCAAACTGTCTGCTCAATTGTTTATCAACTGAAGCTCCTGCTGTCACCCAATAATATTAGCATATTTCCCATATTGAATCTTTTCCTCCCACTGACTGCAGGACTGTTTGTTTCCAAATGATATCCTCTGCCATGGGAAATACAGTCACGTGGTAGCTTGGTCCACAAGTTAGACCATTAGCCTGAAGTAGTTTGGGAGAGAATATGCACGTATCCATGCTTTAGATTAATTCCTGTGCTGCTTCAGGAGACAGTTGCTTGGCAGTTGCTTGGCATGAATATAAGCTCTTAAAAAGGGCTCATTCTTTTCTTTCCCTTTTTTTTTTTTTTTTTTCCCCTTCAGTTCTGGCAATTTGGAGACTGGGTGGATGTAGTGATAGATGACCGGCTGCCTTTCCTAAATGGGAATTACCTGTCTGTACACCCTCGAACATCAAATGAATTCTGGCCATCCTTGTTGGAAAAAGCATATGCCAAGTAAGTCAGTTCTCCTACCCAGTGCTGAGTGCTTTATGGGGTGGCTTCACCCCCTGCTTTACAGAGATCACAAAGGGAGAAACTGAGGCTCACAGCTGTGCGTGTTGTCCTGTGCTTTTGTAAGAAACTGGCTGTGTGCAAGCACAGGATCAATATAACCTGGAGATGTAGGTCTCGTGCTGAGGACCTAAATGTACTCTATCCAACTCTGGGATGTTAGTGTCTGAGAAGTAAAATGAAGAAGATAATGACTAGCTACACAAAGGGGTTATGCTTCCCTTCATTATTTTAAGCAAACTTCTTCACTTCTGTGTTCCTTTCTATATTTTTCTGTTTAAAACTGCAGACTGTGCAGGGATTACCTCTGTAGTCACCAAGAGACCATGCAGATGTTGGGTGGAGACAATGAGATCAGGATGTTATTCTTTAGCATTTGTAATGCTGCCTGTTATTAAATACTCTGAAGAGAAATTCCCATGCTAGAGTGAAGTCTGAAGGGCTGGGGCTTGGCAGACGTTTCCTGGAACAAACTGTTGTGAAGTACAAACTGGTAATGAGAGCTAATTATTTCAGCAAATCCGGTTGAGAATCAGCAAATGCTAAAGCAGCATCTGAGTAACTCAAGAACAGGATTCTTTTTTTGCCCTGAGATATTTCAGAGGAGCTGGTAGCAGTTTGCTGCATAAGATTTTATTTACAAAGCAAAGCAAACCTCTACTAAATTAAATTTGCAGGAGATGCTCTTTATGAGATTCCCACTTGAGAAGCTTCTCCCCAGTGCCCGTGACTAATTCTTTTCATCCGTGGAGGACAGGGACAATTCTTCAAAATACAGTTAGCCACAGACTTCATTTGATTATGTACATTAAATACAGTGTGCGTAGTGAGCTTTAACAGCATGATCTACCTCTTCTAAATACAACGTGTTCCAGCTTATTTGCTGCCTCTATAAAAAGCGCATGATAAAGACAGAAGAACTGTGTTGACAACGTTAAATTATTGCCCTCTTGCACTCTAGCAGAGTAATTTGGGAACAGTGTTGAAAACTTTTTTCTGTTTTGCATTGGAAATACAGAGAAGTGACCTCTATTTTCCAATTGCAAAAGGAATTCTGGTTGTTTCTGTGAAGAGCCATGACAAAGTATTACGTAGGAATTAACAGCTCACCTTCATTTAGCTGAAGCAACCATTTAAACTAATCGTGTTTGGCTCCCTTCTGGTTCAGAAGAAAGAAACTGAATACTTGAGGATGAGACTCAACTCATCCCCCTAAAGCGTGTCTGTTGGCACAAGATGCACCTTACGTATTTCCCACTATCCATAATGACTCCAGACAGGTGCTCCAGGTCTGGGTGAATACACTGAAGGAAGTCCCCCTGCCTCATTCATCCCAGAGGATATGTGTTTGTCTGGGTATTTATTTCAGTCGTGTTGCCTTTCATTACCTGACCTCATGACCTGGCCCTAACGTCTCTGGCTCTCCCATTTTCACTGTCTCAGTACCTGTGTTCATTTCAGAAGCCATCATTGTCCACTGTTTAATAAAACCATGGTGTGAGGACTACTGAAATTTTTTCTGTTCTCAGGCTGCAGGGCTCCTACCAGAACTTGCACGGGGGCTACATTTCTGATGCTTTAGTAGACTTCACAGGTGGAGTCCAAATGCAGTTCTCATTAAAGGACCCCCCTCCTGATCTGGAGGATATACTGAAAGCTGCTAGCAAATCTCAGTGTCTGATGGGATGTAGCACCTCAGGCCGGGTGAGTCACAAGGCCAGAAGCACATCTTGGTTTGCTATGTTTGCAGCAAGTTTACTCATTTGAGTGAAAAAAGGACATCCATAATCACTCTGTTTCATGGCCACAGCTCATGGATGCCTGGTGAGATCTTGGCAGCAGAAAGTAAATAAGGTTATGCAATGTGGAACGTAAAGGCTTTTGGGTAGATGTAGATGGTTTGAATGCGGATGTGGATAACAGTTGTGGATGGAAGGAAGACTCACATCCCTCTCTGAGGGGCCTTCTTCCCATTTTGACCTTGATAGAATCAATTACTCAGCTGTCTCTGAGCTTTGTGTGTCTCCTAGCTAATTCCACCGTGACTGAGTGCTATCTTCCTGCAGCAGGGCTGATTTTGGTCTTATAGCTTTGTGACTGATTCTAGAAAAGCCAAAATGTTCCTGTCTTCTGTAAGGGGATACTGTTATCATGTCATGATTTGCAGGCCACTGATATTAATGCTGTGAAGCTGGAAAATATTTTGTGATGTATTAAGTACTTTCATTAAAAGACTTGACAAGGGCTTATACAGCATGTCAAGGAAAACTGCAAGGCATGTTCCATTGCTTCTGTATTGTCTGGTTTGTCAGGACAGAAAGCTTGGCTATTGCAAGCTGGTGAAAGACAGACCCCTCAGGTCAGGTGCATAACATTGGGCTGTAGTGAGATGTTGAGGCTCTCATCCTCCTAGCAGCCCAATTCACATCATGTTGTAGTTGCACCAGCTCTGTACCATTAAAAATTTTCAACTGTGGGAAGACGTGTACTTCTGTTATATTTCCTGAACAGCTCATAGCTGCAGTCACGTTTCTTTGGAGCTGGTACATCTCAGATAATGCTGAAATTAAAACTGAGTCTCTTTCTCCCATGCCAGTTCTGGGAGGCAACGACCATTCCTTTGCAGTATGGCAGAGAGATATAAGCTGTATTTTCACTCTTTTGCAGATGAGAAACACAGTATTAAGGAATGGGATTGTGCAAGGTCATGCATACACTGTCACAGGAGCCGTGAAGGTGAGATTGTGGAGTTGTTCCTGCCTAGCAGTCTCATACTGGTTGTCCACCACAGGGATGTGGAAGGCAGCCATACTGCTGTTCCATTCTGAGTAATTGTAATTAACTCTCCACCATTAGGAGAGATTTCTGAAAGTATTTAGTTCAAATTTTGGGAGATACAGATGTTCTAGCACAATGAGAAGAGGGCATCAGAATCCTGTAATTTTTCCTGATGAGAAGTTTCTGGCTGGCCCTCCCCTGGTTGGGACTAGATTCCAAATCCTGTTGGAGAAAGGAGCGGTCTCTTCTAGCTTCCTGCTGCTCATGATATGTGCAGAAAGGAGAAAACGTATGTCTCATTTACAGTGAGTCAAGGCATCCCATGTGCTGCAGGGATGTGGTCAGGAGATTGCCCAGGCCGTTGGATCTTTGCATATGGGAAGAGAGTGTCGTGGCATTTTTTTTTCCAGCACTGTCAGTGTGCGTAAGGAGGCCAGAAGCAAAAGTATACTTCTCCTTTCCACTTCTGCCATTTCATTTTCACTCTGAAGGTGTGTTTCTTCTGTCTTCAAACAGTGACACCAGAAACTCAAGATATGGAAGCCATGATATTGTAGAAACAGAGAGACAGGTTTTATTTATCATCACCTCTCCATGCTGACTGTCAACATTCGCACGATGCAGTCAAGTGGCCTCCTCTCCCAGAGTCTTTGCTAGGACACAGTGTTAGATGTGCAGAACTCGCATTGGACTTTCCCAGAGCTGTTGAAGTTGTGGCACGGCAGCAAGGCTGCCATTTCTGTGTCAACTTTCTGCTATTTGCTGTCCTTGGGAAAGCAAGGGCCTCTCCATCATCACTCCTTTACTAGCAGGAAAAGGCACTGTCTTTTTAGCTGCAGTTAAGCCAGGCTTCCATAGTACAGATGTATTTTATTTCCCATATTATCACTGAATATCACGCTTATGAAAAGCTGTGACTGAGATTTGTTTTGCTTTTTTTTCCATCTTTACAGATACGATTCAAGAACCACTGGGAACATATCATCAGAGTCTGGAATCCATGGGGCCATGGGGAGTGGAAGGGGCCCTGGAGTGATGGGTATGGCCTCAAAACTTCCATCTCCTAAGGCAAATCACTCTTGTATAGGCTAATTTTAAAAGTATCTCTACCTCACACCCATTGTAATGAAACAAACGCTTCTAAATCAAGAAGCCTAATAGCCTTGATTCCAGTTGCAAAGAAATCCAGCTGAGAAAACTCATGAAGCATTGCTTTCATAGGTACTCATTGCTAAGCCTAGCTCAGGTATACCTTTTTGTTGATGTGTGCATTTTTCTCAGTGGGTAAGCTGCATAGATTGAGTTATTGATTATGTTTATTTTGCATTCAACAGAAAGTACAATCCTCCCTTAATTATAAACATGCTGCTTAGAAACAATACATCCGACTGGCTAATGTGCCCTCTGCACATTGACGTGCTGTCAGCACTGAGAAGCATTAGGGGCAGGGGGCAGACGCAGGATTTCCCATTCAAGGGTGGGTAACCCTAAGCAGAGCAAAGATGCCCTATTTGCTAGTCTTGGTTATGAGCATATTAACACAAATCTGTTCCCATGTGCAGTTATCTTACCCCTCTTCATCCCTCTCAACTTGATGAACTGGGTAGAGGAATAGACTGGCTGGAAAGATGGAAACTTGTACCTCTCACAGCTGTTTGTTCCTGTTTGCAGCTCTCCAGAATGGGACTATGTGGAGCCTGAAATTAAGGAAGAGCTCTACAGAAAGAAAAATGATGGAGAATTCTGGTATTTCCCAACTGATCCTTTTGTCTATCAGGCTTTCTCTGTGTGTTCATTGTAAAAGAAGGGTCATTTGGGCATTTCTTTTCTCTATCTTAGTAATGGTTCAAAGCACGCCTGTGTTAGTTGTGGGCAAACAGCAAATTGTTGCAATGGTATCAGAGGAAACAAGGCTTGAAGAAGTGAAACTGGCCAATACTATGCAACAAGCTGATGGGAAAAAAAGAAGTAGTAGTAGTGAAAATCCAGCTTCGTGAGACCTAGTGATTTTGTCACTCTCTCCAAGTGACTAGCTTGAACTTCAGACTGCTCAGAGGAATAAGTAGTTGAGCTCCTAGGGCTCGTGCACCTGACTGCTCTGCAGGTGCTTGTGGCTTTTCAAAGCCTCTGGTTACTCTCAGATCCAGTTAGCCATGGATTAGCTATTCTCTATAAAAGCTCTTATTCTTCAGAAAGTGCACCCTTTCCCTGAGGAAAACAGGAATGAACAACAAATGGGTGTGGGATGGACACTGCAGGCTTGAGCAAAGCATGGAAGGCAGGACAGGACACTGCAGTGGGATAGTACAAGGCACTATGGCAGGGATGTGCTGGGGATAGCAGGACTCCATCAAGGCACTACTGAACATGCCCTTTAATTTTGCTGGGGCTCTACGTGCATTTGGGTCATCCTAAATGCTCTGAGAGCTAACTTGTACTGCTAAGTGTCAGCCAAGCTTGTCTGCACCCTGTGCCACTGCTGTGTAACCCTGTTTTGAAGACACTGAGGGGTTGAACAGGAATATCCAACTGGTGTCTCAGACTGAAAGGTGTGCCTTTCTCCTTTGCAGGATGTCCTATGAAAACTTTCGGGAGCAGTTTTCCTGGCTGTGTGTTTGTAACTGCACCCCAACGTTTCTGGACTTTGGAGATCAGCACCACACAGGATGGTCTGTGGACAGATACATCAACCTGTGGAGCCCATTGCTTGCTACTGGCAGGAATGACTGGTCCTCTGGTAATAAATGCTACTTGCAGTCACCCAATCCTCTCCTCTACACCAGGGCTTACACTGAAACATTCGCCGTGAGCACCAGTTAGCAGAAATATCGATTGGTAGTTGTTAATGCCTGCTCTTTCTCATTACAGCACCTATCAGCTAGGGAAACAGATAGAAAGCAGTGGCACTGGCTGCTGAGTTGGGGGGGGAAAAAAAAAAAAAAAAGAGAAGAGGGCTTGTGATTTAGAGATTCTAGGCTGCCTAAAATCAAAATGTGCTTGTCTATGTTCTTTCAGCCTGTTGAAGTAGGTGCTACAGGGGACCTCATCAGAAAGTCTGGTCTGGCAAATATGTGACCGGTCCCCCAGAGAAAGAGGTACTCTGCAATTAAATGGATATGGAATGAAAGAATTGTGCTGCAAAGCTCAATTTGAACAAGGTCTTTTGACCAGATAAAACCGTGCATTTTACTGGAGAGCCTGAAGCACAGCATAACCATCTGATCAAAAGAGGCGATTCTCCCCTTAGTGCTGGTGCAGCCTCACTTTGAATGCTGTGTGCAGTTCTGGACTCCACAATACAGAAGGGATGTTAAGGTCCTTGAAAGAGCCCAGAGGAAGGCAACGAAGCTGGTAACAGGGCTGGAAGACATGTCATGTGAGGAGAGGCAGAGGACTGGTCTGGAGAAACTTTCAAGGCCTCTCAAAACATGGCTTCATGTCTAGGCTGACTTAAGCAGATGCTGACACCTCAGACCTTTTCCTCCAGTTTCACGTCTTGTCAGGGATGCTTCTTATTTATTAAACCTTTGGACTTTTTGTTCTGGCCCTCAGGACTGTCTTCTGCATCACAAACAGTAATAGGTAGGAAGAGGAGGATATCTTTGGATCATTTTGTGTTTTTCATTTATGTGCTTATGGTCTCCAAAACGCAGTACTTTTTCAGCTCAGCCACAGGGTCAGCCAGGGGATTGAAAATCACTGCTTTCCTGCCTGGGGAAAGTGTGCCATGTAGGTGAAACAGAGATGGGTGGGTGAGAAATCTGCCTGACATTTATGACTTTGCCAGAGATTTCTAAAATGATTAATGGGCAATTAGTTTAACTCTAGATTCCTCAACCCCTGCTAATAAAGGGACTACAGTGCTTTGTTGCATCAAAAGCGTTTTGGAGAAGTAATTAGCTCTTCTGAGTCTTCATAAGCATGATCTAACACAAGAGGCTACTACTGGGATATCTAAGTGGCTATTGCTAATCTAATAACGCTTCCTCAGCAGGTGCAGTTTCAAAGAACCCTCAGTATTTCTTCAAAGTAACAAATTATGACCCCAGATCCTACAATGTGGTCATTTCACTCATACAAAAAAATGCAGAGGGTATGCAGGATGCACAAACATTGAAGATTGGCTTTTTTATCACCACGGTAAGCACAGTTAGATATTATGTAGATCTTGTTGTTTGCTACATGGCTTATTATACCTGCACATGTAAATGAAGGATTTAATTGTCTTTGGACTGTCTTTTGGAGAGAAATCTATTTGGAGCAAGTTTCTGGATGTCTTCCATATTAAGACAGACCCAACACAAGAAGGATGTGGAGCTGTTGGAGCAGGTCCAGAGGAGGGCCACAAAGTTGAACAGAGGGCTGGAGAAACTCCCCTACAAGGACAGGCTGAAAGAGTTGGGGCTTTTCAGTCTAGAGAAGAGAAAATTCCAGGTGGACCTTATAGAGGTTTTCTAATACCTGAAGGGAGCCTACAGGAAGGCTGGGGAGGGTTTTCTTCAGTGCCTGGAACTCACTATCTGTACTCAAGGGCATCCTCTGTGTGGATCTGTCAGCCCTCAGGGTGCCAAGAGACCAGCCATGCTGCTCAACTAGATCTGCCACTCCTGGTAAATGGGAAACCCAGTCCTTCCAGCACCCTCATCAGCTGTCCCCCAACAGTCACCAGACATGGAGATCCCTGCGTGCGCTAGTTTGGTGCACGCCCATCTTGATTAGTCACTCATTTTGATAAAAAGGACCTTGGGTGGGTTGTCATGGCATAGTTCTATAGACCACTGGAAAGAGGTTTCTGTTTAATCAGGAAGCTGTCCAGGCAAAAGGTTTGGACTGTTTTCATTTTGTTTTGTTCTCAAGGTCAGATGAAATTTGATGTGTGTCACTTCTGGCTGATGTGACCTCTGTAAGGTGTCAGCCCATGGCTCGCCTCAGGCTGAAGTTGACTTTGGCTCCAAGATGCTCCCATGCAGGAGATGAAGGGCAAAGTCAGAGCAGCTGATCGCCGGGGCAATAGGATTTCTGTGGAACACCTTGGTAATGAAGGAAAGATGACCTTAGTGCTGTACTCCCTCAGATTATTCACAGTGTCTACTCTCAGTGCCTGAGAGTAGTCGGAAGTGGCATCTTCATGTAAAAAGTTTAAGAGGGGGCTCTTTTCAAAAGGAAAGTGCAATTGCTAAGATTCATGTGGTTCATTCTTCCCCCTCAACTGCTTTTACTTCCATTATTCATCATCAGCATTATTCGCTGTTCGGTATCATTTGAGGCGCATCACACTGTCATTGGTAAGGGTGTCATCCACTGGCAGGATGAGAGGGGAATGCAGCACAGGCAAAGATGCAAGCCAGAATGGATGTAGCTGATAGCTCTATGAAGCCTTTAATTAGGTATTGATGTGGAGAACTAATACATAGCTGTGAGGGAAGTTTAATGTTGTGTGTTAGAGCTGAGCAGTGTATAGAGTCTGATTCTTATCTCACACCAGTTTTGACTTCTTTGAGATATTAATCTGCTTCTGCTTTTTACCAGAAGGAATGTAGAATGAGACACAAAAGTAAAAAAGGATTGTGCCATTTATTTCTTCACAGTGCTGCCCATTTCTATCTGCTCAATATCTGACCCATAATATTTGGCAGTCTGCATACCTCCCAGCCCTCTGTAACAGTAGTCATCTTTTTTCTCCCTCCCAGAATAGCAGTTTTATGCTATTTTTCTCCCAAAGGCATGGCTCATAAATAACCCTGCCACGCTGTACAACCATTCTAAATGGAATTTATACATGCTGAAGTATTTGGGGGAATGTGTTTAGTAAGGGTTTTTTATTATGCTATCTTTACATGTCATCATAATAATAGCTGTTGCATAATATTAGTTTCATCTCAGCAAACATACTGGAATAATAGAAGAAAGATGAGAACGTTCTGTTTCCTTGTGACACTTGCTGGAAGGTTTGAGTTGTGATCCTTAAAGCATTGTCATGAAAGTGAGATGCTTAGTGAATTCCCTGGGTTATGCTAGGTCTCAGGAAGGTTTTAGTAAGGGCATCCTTACTGTTAATTGAAGTTCTCTTCACTGAAATATATTTTCTTATTTTCCTTTTTTACCCACTTCTTCCAACTTTTTGTATTATTGATGTGTGCTTGGACAAAGTTTGTCTCCTGGTCAAGTCTTCCATGCCTCTGGGAAGGTTAAGGCATATCAGAGGCAGCGTAGATCCAGAGAGCAGTGGGAGCATAAGGCTGCTCTGGGTACGCTTACTGATTTACTTTGATTCCTGGCATGGAAGGTGAGATAACCAGCTTTGTTTTTCTTTTAGGAGAACTCCAAAGTTCTGAAACAAGTTTTCTCCCTTACACGAGATGTGAGCAGCTGCTTTAATTTGAGCCCAGGAACTTATGCTGTCATTCCTGCTACAACAGAGGACCGAGAATTTGAATTTGTCTTACGAATTTTTGTAAAGAATCAAGACTACAATGAGTAAGATAATGACAAGTACTCCGTATAGGCCCCAGATTTGCTGTATGCCAGGATTTAACAATTTAATGTTGAGACAACTGATGTAGCAATTTGCTTGCAATGTACTCTATAAATGTGCTGGGACAGCACAGCTGAGTGTTAAGGACCATGTTAAGGGGGATCGTTTGTGTACTGCCAGATGCATAGGTGGCCATTGCCAGGGCAATATAGGGCAATAGCTCAGCAGTAGCCATCAAGGATCCTAGCTTTGGTACGAAGAGCAATACGATGAGCAATAATTGTGGAATATGCCCTGCCAGCCTGCAAAGAAATCTCTCTTTAATAGAAGAAGGACTGCAAGCTTCTTTTTCCTAGCAGCCACTATGCAGTTTTGTATGTTGTGCCAGCTGGACCCTGCATGGATCAGGTTGTTGGCAATGAAGCAAAAAGCATTGGAAGACTTGGAACCCTTCAACTAGTCATCAAATACACAGGTCAACAGGGCTCCCCTCAGTAAGACAGGGGTCGTGAAGAATAAGCATGGTAGAAAAATAGTATATCACAGTTCCTGCAAAGGCAGCTTCTGTTGCATTTGCGTATAAATATCTGGGTGTGCTTTATTTAAAGAGCAAACCCTACAGCTCAGCATTACCAAATAACCCTTAGGGATCAGATGTGCAATGCCTTTCCTTCAGTAAGTTCTGCAGTATAGATGACTGCAGCTCTTATGTCACAAGTCCATATCTTCATAATGAGATTGTTCTCTAGGTTTTGGCCTTTCAGTTAAAATGGCTCAGAACCAAATAAGGCAACTCCTTAGTTATGGACAACAAACATGAGTAGTCTGTGCCACAGGCTAGTCTGCTTTCAGTGTGATGATTCATGCACAAGAAGGTTCAGCCCTTGGATGTAGCTCTTTCCAGAAGAGCTTGTGACCCTTACCTTACTAAGCTAGGCAATGCATGGGCATGCCCTTCCCATGGGTCTTGCAGCACCCACAGCATTAAGGTTTGTTCAAGGAGAAGGGAGCATCAGCGCCATGTGATCAGAGGGCACTAGCTGGGCTCTGTGCTCACTGTCTGGGGACAGGTACTTCCTTGTGAGGCCACGCAAGCTTTGTCATAGACAACTGGCTTACCTGATTTCTCTACTGAAAGCACACCTTCAGTGTTAAATGTTAACTGCTACTAAGTGAGCCTCAAAAGGAATGATGATCTCCAAATCAATGTTGCCTTTTTATAGCCTGGATGCTATGTTTATCCCTGACTATTAAGCTTTTTTGCGTGGCTCAAGGAAGGACAGCCCTGGCTTCTGTGTGGGGAGATTAGTCCTGACATGCTCTGCATGAGTCCAGTTATCCTTTCTCTGCTGCTGCCCGCAGGCCCAGATGAGGGAGGGCAACAGCCCCAGAGCACGCACTTGGTCTGCTCATATTTAGTTGCACAGGGAGGTCTGCGACCAGCACAACAGAACTGGCTGAGCTGGGGCAGACCAGGAGATGTGAGTGCTGGGCTGTAGGCTGGGCAAACAAACTGGTCGCTGCCTACCTCCTGCAGTGCCTGCAGAACAGTGCTCTTGGAAAGGCACATTTTCTCCCAGTGTGATGTGACTCAACTCTTTTCTAGGAACGCAAACTCTCAGCTCAACCCAATGCTGCCAATGGTAAGAGTCCTGGAAAACTGCTACTGATACCGGTGTGATAAGCAGGGGGGGAAGCATTTCAAAGACAGTTGATTCCTGCAGTGTCTGTAAAATGGGTATGTGTGCAAGGAGGAGAGAGGGAGAAACTGATTGAAACTCCACAGCTCAGTATAGCCATTTTTCAAAAAACTTCACAGCTGAGAGCAGAGTTGTGCACGCTCTCCCCAGAGGAATGGCTTCTCTTAGTGTTTGCATTGTATAAAGAACAGGAGTTCATTGAGGTGAGACACAAAGCAGATTTCTGCAGTGTTTCGCCTAGGTATCTTCACAGATGTAAGGGAAACTGCACTTTAAATCTGGGTGCACCTCAAGTTCAACCCACATTTCAGCCTGTCCAGCCCAGTTACCATCCAGATACCACTGGATATTAGAAAAAAATTCTTCTCAGTGAGAGTGGTGATTCTATGGTTCTGTAATCTATTGCTGGACTTCCTTCCTGTAAACTGTGCACATTGCCAGAGCTGGTCCAGTCCATGCTGCTGCCTCAGTGGTCATTTGCAAACCCCTGCCACTGAGCAGGCTGTTATTTACAGCAGTGTAAACTCTATGTGGGTTGATGAAGCCAACGGTGCTCCATGAGAATGGGAAATGGAGTCCTTCCCTTGTGATTCATTTGCCAGCCTGCAATTAAGCCCCATTAGAGAGGTAACATAAATGGTGGCTTATTATCTCTTCCCACCGACAAGCTGTCAGTTTACTTGGCTGTTGTCATTAGCCAATGTTTTGACTTTGACAAATTATGGTACCCACAGTTTCTGATCTTATTCAGGCAGTTGGACTTCACTAGTATGAATAAAACGGAAGGCATTAGGGATTAAGCTCAATTTTTTTTTTTTGAAACTTTATGAAGTTAAGGATATTTCTCCATACTGGCTCCATAGAGAGCTGCAGTTGTTCAGATACTGTCAAGCCTGCACTGGGGTAAGAGAGAAGGGAAAAGTCAACACCTTGTTCTATTCTCTTGGTACATGCCCTTCCTGGTGCATCTTCCATGCTCTGAGCCAGTGGTTTCAACCAAAGGCCATCAATAAGGATCAGTCCTGGTATTTGTATTCTCATGTATTGACTTGCTGAATTCCACTCCAAGATGTTAAAGTTGTTTTCCCCAAGCTCCCTCCCAGCTGTGCTAAGTGATAGCATCCTAACAATGTTTCTTCCTTCACTGCAGTAGCTTTCTTACTCCTAGTCCATTTTAGGGATGTTAAAACTGAATTTCTACTGTTGATTCTCCAGCCCTCTCTGAAGCATTGTTTGATCTGCAGACTGCTTCTTCCAATTGTTTTGTAACTGAATTATTTATGTGTGCATTTCTTATTTGATCCAGGATGTACCAAGACAGAAACAGGACAGCTCCTATAAGGCTATCTTCCTAAAATATGCAAAGCAGGTACGCTGTCTAAAGCATCTTGCTGAAAAAAAATAATACATATATATAAAAAAGGCACGTGGACTTGCAAAAAGAAAACTAATCTCCAGTGGTCATACTTGACCCATTTATTAAAATGTTCTTTTGGAAATGTAGCTTCATCCTTAAAGAGGCACCCTGAAAATGGTATTGATTTACTTGCCCAAACCCCTCAGAAAAACAGGAATTTAGCTGGGACAGATTGGCTATCCCCATATTTCAGAGGAGGATTGGAGATGTTGGACTTGCATGTGTACTTTTTTTGGCTTTGGTTTGTTTATGTACAGAAAGCAATTAGAAAGCTTTGGGTATTCCCTCCTCTCATCAGCATCATTTTCCATTTGCTTTTGCAGCAGCTGGAAACCAAACATCAGTGAGTGTTTGAGTAATTGATTCCTGCTTTTTCTGAGCCAAACTGTGTGCATTCACAGGAGATGCGTTTAATGGCTTAATAAACCATTATAACAAAACTGCTTGACTTAGGAGAACAAAAAAATATATACATATCAGTGCTGAAAATTTTTGCACAATGGATCTCTTGCAGTTAATAGTTGTATCAGCGCACTGAGGTGAAAATGAACAGGGCTGCCCTGCTGAAAGCCCTGGCGGTGTTTCAGGCAGGGAGGCATTCTGGTTTGCTGATGGTTTGGGTGGCTCAGAGAGGAGCAGGCAGTTGCTGAGGGTTTGGTGAAGAGAATGTGGATGAAAGGAGTAACTGCTCCCATCACCACTGAAAACACTCCATGGCAATGGAACCTGTGGCTGCCCTGCAGACCCTCACAGGGAAGGACAGAGAATGGCCCAGCAGCAAGTAGGGCTGTGGCATGCTTCTGTGCAGGCACGGTCATGCATCCATCTGATAGAGGTCCTTCTTAGTTGCCATGGTGCATGAATAAAGGTATTTGGGGCAAAAGTGAGGCAGGAGTAAACTTTGCTCTCACAGACCTCTCTTTATTCTGCATTAGGGCTCAGCTATTGATGCTTTGCAGTTGCAACAACTTCTTAATGACATGGTCCTGCAAGGTAAGGTTTTTGCCTCTGGTGCTTCCCTATTCTTAGTGTAAATTAGAAGATTCAGTAATATCTGTATGTATTATGTATGTATGTGCGTGTGTGTGTGTGTGTCTATATACACACTTCCCCTCCCAGTTCAGTACTGGGACAGCCTTCCTCATCACTGCTATTTCACTGATCCTTATCCCAAGAGCCTTCTGCTTCCAGGAGGGTGAGTAGATGGGTCAAGACAGTGCAGAACAGCCACCTGTGAGCACCAAATGGGAAAAGAAGTAGTGGAGGTTTTCAAGAAGGATCACACTCCTTCAGTGGACCTCACCTCTTGTTGCTGCCTGAGAACTTTAAGCTAGATCTGGGGCTGTGTAGTTTTACATGCCTTCAGACTGGTGTCCTTCCCCCCCAGTGGTGGTCTGAATGTAGGGTTTGCTTTTGCTGATTCTGTCTGTTATGTCAATCCTTGCAGATGAAATGACCAGCCTGGGAGGAGAGTTCAGCTTTGATTCATGTCGAGCCATTTTAGCTCTGATGGATGTATCCTTTCAGCAAAAGCAATAAAGTTCCCCAGTGTTGCTCATCCTTGCCTTGAGTTATGGCTGAGCTGAGCGTCCCAGTGTGAGAACCTGCAAAGATTAGCCATATTCCTCAGTAAATAGCTGCCACAGCCTATATGCAGGACTTTGCTATGCATGGCCTGGCTCTGGGAGCATCTCTGCTGAAAGGTGAGAGTCAACCTGTACATTCATACCTTCTGCCAGCAACAAATTCCTTTGGTCTCATTTTCTATTCTGTGGGGCCCAAGGCTTTGCTAAGCTTCACTCTCAGATGCAGGCCCCAGGCACAGGTTGGTGCGGCCACAGAAACCCGGAATGTCAGCTCTCAGAGCTTGCCAGCAGAGCTGCGGTAAGGGAAAACACTGTCTCTGCCCACTCACAGCCATGTGTCCGAGACTGGCAGGCCATTCATCCTTCCCAATGTGCCTTTCCTATTTAGTTGGATCCACAGTCATTTTATTGTTAACAATGCTGGAAATACATTGCCGGCCATTGTAGAACAAGAAGACTCCTTGATGAAAACATAAATCCTCCCTTGTGTGTTTTCTCCCATTTGCTGGCTCGCCATCTCTTTCCTTCCATGCCTTGCAATAATTTTGAGACATTTTCAGATTTTTAGAAGCTGACAGGGAATGAATAAAAGTGCTGTGCAATCCCTCTCTTTCCAGGTTTCTCCATCTTGCAAGCAAAAGAAGTTTCCCCCCTTTCCAAAGCAACTGCTAGGCTAAGTGGGCACTGTGAATGCATGGCACGTGCAAGCACCTGGCTGACAAAGCCACTGCTCTCCTTTGATTCAAGGTGGATTTTCATTCTCTGGGCTGCATACAGCCCACATACAGTGTGACCTATCCTGGCCTGCAAAAATGATAGCAGCTTTTTTTCAGTCAGGTTTCACTTGTGGGCTCATGTAGCTTGTAGTGAAGTGTTTTCTTGCTTGCAGTGGCTTCTAAGAACAGGCATCAGCATCAGCTCTGTGTGTTCTTGGCTCCTTCACTGCCTCTTCTCCCAGAAGGATCCAGCCAGAGCTGATCTCATGCTGTCCCATGCACAAGAGCACATGTGGGCTGGAGCATGAGGTTCTGCTCCTCCTCAGTGGCTGCTGTGCTCAAGGGCCCAATGTCAGCTGCAGAGATTGCCTCAGGAACCCTTGTGGTTAAAGACACCATAGAAATAGAAACCTTTTGTTGTTTGTGAGCATAGATATGAGCAGCTGCACAAATTGCCAGAAAAGGCATATTTAACTCTGAGCGTAACCGGGACCAGAAAAGATCTTCTGAACACAAAGCAACAAACAGAAAAGGCTGCATCTTAAGGCTCCCTTTACATGAAGGCAGCATCCTCAGCAATGAAGGCATCACCAGGTTTAGCTCATTTACTGCTTGATTCTTAACTAAATGCACAGCTCAATTCAAATGGACAACTCACGCTGCAGGAGTTTGGGAGCCTCTGGCGAAATGTCACCAAGTACATGGTATATGGGGTTGCTCTCTCTCTTCTCTGCTACAACCATACTCCTGTTTTGTTTTGTTTTGTTTTTTTTTTATCACCAAGGTGCAGACACTGCAATACCAAAGTAGATGTTGCCAAGATTGCATCTTTAGTAGGTCAGATTTCCATCCACTCATGCAAAGGCTGAGGGCAGGAAGCAGGAGCGTGTGAAATGCTGTAAGCGAGCAATCAGGGGCTTTCTGAAATGGGAAAATGTAGGAAGGCCAGTTAGTCTCAGGATTTGATGCAAATCTGTGGCCACTGCTGGGTACACTTTTTAAAGCCTTTTTTTTTTTTTTTTTTTCTTTTTTTTTTTTTTCTTAAAGTCTCTGCTCTGAGAAAAGCATTAGATTCGGAAACAGCGTGGATGCCAGCTTGGTATTTAGGGCCTCACCTAAGTTCAGGCAGCTTCCCTGAGTCAGGTCCTTCTTCCTCCAGTCTTACTGCAGAAGGGGAAGATTCCTTGAAGCCTCCGAGATGGGCAGACTGTGCTTTGTTCTGTCCCTCTCAAGACAGTCCGTGGCCACCTAGGACAGTGGGGTGCCGATTCCCTGCTAAGCAGCAGTGCCTTCCCACTGACAGCACCTCAGGTTTGTTGGGAAAGATGACATTCTGGGACACAGGGACTCCTGGCAGATTTAATGTATTACAGACAATGTGTTTTTGTCAGTGGAAGTATGAGTATTCCTGTTGTCTGTGCACATAAACCAGGAAAGTGAGCAAAAAGGCTTTAACCCACCCCAAAGTGGAATTTTTTATGGTATAATATAGTGACTGAGCCTTCTGGAAATGGTCTGTCCTGTCATGGTCACCCTATCTTATCTGTTGACTTCCTTGCAGTGAATTTATTAAGGAAGGGAAGCATCCTACCTAATTAGATGTAGCAATACCTTTGAAGAGCAGTGATGAAGGCCTAAAAGCTGCTTTTCTGCTGTTTTTCAGGATCTCTTCAAGAGAGAAGACAGAAATCGTTCTGGATTTCTTGATGTATCTGAACTGAAGAGTGCAATACAGACAGCAGGTATGTCCAGGTGTGCTGAGCAGCTCCTGTCCCTGCAGAAAAGGATGAAAAAAATAAAGGGCTTTAGGAGTAAAGCAGTTTGGAATGCACAAAAGTGCCAGTTGGATCACAGCTCTGCTCAGAACACTGCATTGTTTCAGGGCACTGAGACAGAAAGCTCATTTTGCACAGAAACCTTTTCTTTGCTGCATGGCGCTGTGCCCACCTGCCCCCTCCCATACAGGAGCATCCACCCTTTGAATCACAGCAAGGGAAACAGCAGAGATGCAGAGAAGCACAGGCTGCAGGGTTTCTCTAAGTCATAGACAAAACACACAGCCAGGGAAAGGAGCGAGGAGCTTGCATATAATCCAATTCCTGCAGTTTCTCAGGGAGGCAGTAACTAAGTCTATTATGGAAAGCCACAGTGACAGGCATTTATTTAGTTTGCACTGACCTCTATTGGCTACACGAATGCTGAAACTTGCAGTGAGTGCATAGTGTCCCTTTGCACAAAGGAGGCATTATTGCTGGGTTATCTCTCCAGAGACTTTGTGCATGAAATATAGCTCACAGATAGCAAACCTGCTGGTAATCGTAAAGTAGTGAAACTCCCATTTGTATACCTGGAGCTTGGAGTGGGTGCTGTCTCTGGGAGGAACACGGTGAAGAAGAACTGTTGATGGGAATCATCAGCTCAGAACAGGTGTGTAACTTTTTTGTTGCTGAGAGGTAAGCAGAGCATCTGCATAACCTGAGCAGTGCAGTGCTAATGTGCCAAATGGCAGTGAAGAAGCTGCCAGGCCACTTCTGCTACAGCGTGAACTGGGTGAAGCAGCAGCTAAAATGGTGCAGCTATTGGAAGGGCTAAGCATAAATGTATTTCCATTACATAACTATTGCACATTGTGTGTGAGATTCCTGCTGGAGACCTTCTCCTGGTAGGCTTGTGCAAACAGGGTTTGTCATCGTGCTAACCCATCTCCAATAGTTGCATCTCTCCCCAAAAAGCTGTAGAGAAACCATTCCCTTCTTTTCAAACTAATTTGGCTTCATTATGAATTCATTTAAAACCAGTAAGTCTAGAATTGGTTGGTAAAAGGGAGAAAGGCACTTCACTTGCCATTGAGCTGCTGAAAACTGGGGATGAGCAAATGAGACTTTCTGGAGTCACAAAGAATGCGTTAGCCTGAAGCTATCAGTGCATAACATTTCTCTTTTATTTAGTAAATCAGCTTTTAGAGCAAAAAATATTTAAATCATGTCTTAGGTAGCCAGCATATTTAGGGTAGTTTTATTTAACTTATAAAAGAATCATTCTAATAGGCAACTTTTGTTCATTCAGTTGAATACCAATTTCCATCCAAATAGACTGTGACACAAATACTGAATAATCAGCTAATAAGAAACGAAATGCACCTTTCACCATTTTCTGATATAAGAGAAAATGTAAAAATTAGGAATCCTGGGCATGCTGTACTGCATAATAGCAGTAGGTCCTATTCCTGCTTAGCAGAAAACGCCGGTGGTATTGTGAGTGCTGCGCTCAGACTGCAGCAGTTATGCACCATAGAAAAGAAAATCATCATTTATTAGAGAAAATAAAAGCGAAAAGTGCAAAGTAAGACTAGAATCTGTAATTCTGCAATAACCACAGCTCATGTGATGAGAAGGGCTTGGATTCTCTACTACCCTGCCCCAGCTCTTCTTCCCACAGCTGGGAGAAGGCATGCTGCTGTGTGGGGGACCAGAGGGCACCCAGTCTGACAAGGAGGAGGGTTTATCTGTAAGAGCACGAGGCCAGCAGGGCCAGTCTGTCACCCTGCAGTGATCCCCAGTGCTGTCCTTCTGCTCTCCCCCACAGGACTGCCCGTCAATGAGCAGATCCTGCACCTGATGGCCCTGCGCTACGGCGATGTGTACAGGAGAATGGGCTTTGCTGACTTCGTGAGCTGCATGATGCGCCTTGAAACCATGACCTGTGAGTCCTGGAGCTTTATCACAGGGTGCCTGCGAAGCCAGGCTGACAGAAGGAGGCAAGGGAAAAACTGCCAGACACCACAGTACAGGCTTATGGAACTGCATGGGGTAAAAATCTAGGCCCAGATGTCCCTTTGGACTTAGGCTTATCCTGAGAGCTCCCATGCACTAAGACAGACTAATTTTCCTGCACTGGTGGCTTTTCACAAAAGCTTGAGCATCCTGTTCTGCATTAGATCTTCCTCCAGGGTGGCACTGCCCGTACCACAGGAGGGAGACTGTGTTCACTCATGTCCAGTGAACTCATGTCCGTTAAGGTTGGAAAGACCTCTAAGATCATCTAGTCCAACCATCAGCCCATGCCTGTGACCACTCCAGACCACATCCCTCAGAGCCATATCTCCATGGTCCTTGAACTCCACCACCACCCTGGGCAGCCCATGTTCCAGTACTTCACTGCTCTTTCTGAGACAAATTTGTTCCTAATACCCAACCTGAACCTCCCCTGTTGAGGCCACTATCTCTCATCATATCACTCTTACCTGGGAGAAGAGCCCAACTCCCACCTTCCTACGACCTCCTGTCAGGCAGCTGTGGAGAGCCATACAGTCTCCTATGAGACTCCTATGAAATGGAAGGCTTTCTCTCTCTTTTTTATTTCTATTTCTTTAACTGGAGAGATATTCCCTCTGTCTTCTGCACAGTTCTTCCAAAGTTTTGGTAAGGAGAAGGCGTGAGACCCTTTCAGTGGGAAAACAAATGCGTTTCCTCTGTTGTGTCCTTGTATTGTCTGGCAAGGAAGGGAGTGACTGTAAACGAAAGTGCCTAATTCTGTTTTATAAAAGCATAGTTTTTACTGCTATAATTATAAGCATTTTGACTGGAAATAGCAGTAGTTAAAGAAATCCAGCAATTGTAGCCCACATGCTAGAACACTGCTACAGCAATTTGGTTCGTCTTTGGAACAAGCTGTGTTTCAGCAGCACGTGGAGTTGGGGGGTTATTTTTTGCCCATGTTTTAGCACTGATGTTTTAGGAATCGCCAGTTGTCAGCAGATCTGCCTGGGTGATGAGGCTGCCTAAAATTCCATTTCAGCAGAACACAGAAGCAGCTCAGATAGAGCAGGTCCAGATCTTAATACTTTCACTAAAACCACAACTTTTAGATATCTTTATTTCTGTGATTATGTCACTTACCATGGATGGGAATTCTTATGCCTAATGCAGTAGCATAGCAATTTTTTCATCATAAAAAATGTCCTTTTAAATTTTAAGTGCCAGCGTAAAGACAACTCCTTTAAATCCATTTGGACAAGAATCTTTAAAAATTTCAGTGCCTCCTGTAATGAGTGTCTAAAGATGTTCTTTGAGCCTTTCAGTTACTGCTTTACAGAGGGTTTAATGTGTAATGCATTTCCCAATCTTTTCAATTCACTGTAAGATTTTTAGAGGAGTGCATACAGGAGCCAAGTGGAATGGATGTTGAGCCAAGTGGAAAGAAGAGACATTCCACCTTTATGGGGATGTGAATGCAGCAGTGGAGACAAATCTGTCTCACTGAATCATTACTCATCCTTTCAGGATCGCCAGAGATGAGACCCAAACCAAAAGCAACAGCTTCTTTGCAAATTCTATTTAACTGGAGGTAATGAAGCAGTAAAGGGGCACTTCTGCTCAGAGGAGGCAACTTCAGCACTGTGTTTTTTTCCTAGAAAGACTGCTGAACATAAGCTGGCCTGCAAATGCAGCCTTGCTAAGGAGCTGGGTGCAATGCGGGCATTTCTTTGTTCTATGCACTTTCTTCAAAGCAGTATAGGGTGGCTGTTCTTCATTATGTTGGTTTTCCTCCCTCCCTGCTCTCTGCTCTGGGTCATATAGGTAGCTCTTGGTTGCCTGTGAGCCCAGGAAACCTTGTCCTAAGGGGCTGATGAGCAGTGGGGCCTTGTGCCCTATTCCTATGCTCTCCCAGCAGCCTTCTATTTCTCTAAAGCTGGGTAGGTTTTGAAACAGGCTCCTAGAGCAATGTTTCATTCAAGGACAGACAAACTTAGATTTGTTTTAACTTTTCATTACTGTCTATAGCAGCACATTTCTAGGAGAAAAGTAATTTCGAAATAAATAGGAGCTCATAATGCCGTGTTTTTGTTTCATCCAAACACTTAGGTTTGCTAGCGCTGCTTCTAGACAAGCTGAAATAGAAACGTGCTTTTAGAATATCAGTGTTTGAATGAATTCAAATTTTCTGATGGCAAAGGGTTCTGTCAGAAAATGTTAAGCAACGTTAATTTCAAACTCGAGATGAATAACAGCAGCATCTGCATTTCTATTCCCTGGAAAAACCTCGTAAGGCATACTAATGACATCAAGAGAATCATTTTCCTCAGGGCACACTGTAATCACTCACTGAAAGGGAGGATAGAAAAGGACCAAGGCAAGTTTCCCTGGGGGAAGATGTTTCATTAGTCTGCTGTTCTCCGTCATCCTTCAGGCAGGAGGAACCACTGAAACAAATCAGGGGAGGAGATGGAAGCAGTCACGTGGAGCGCTCCTGTTCCTATATTTTTGCTTAACTCTGGATGTGCAGTTGGGATGCTTTACTTGCTGTGATGCTAGGGCTGAGGCACAGGGGGTGCCCAGCACAGAAATACGATGTGGCCAGGCAGCACAGTGCATGTGGACACCTGAGTGAGGCACAGCGCTCCAACACGGGGACCACAGCTCTGCTCCAGGGCTTATTTTGCGGCTTGTGTTGCATTCTTGCTTCCTTCTCCTGTAAAAAGCTTTTCTTTGTTCTACTCCTAGATGCGTTTCAAAACTTAGCCAAAGGTGGACCACAAGTTTTGATGACGGTGATGGAGGTAAGGATGCTCCTTCCTTCTCCCCAGCTCCACAGCAGGACCATAGAGTTAAGTTAGCAGGATGACGATGCCAAGGGTGCTGTGTCAGTGCTGTGGGTGTTGCCAGGAGCTTTGCTGCAGTGTGGGTTTTACCTGGCTGGGTGTGCATAATGGTCCTCAAGAGATATTACCTAGGGATCTCTACTCACACAGCCTTACTAGTATGAGGACAGCTCAGTGGTGGCCATCCCTATCTAAAACACTGTCCCTTCCCGTGCGCTGCCACTTGTGTCACTGGTGGAAATGTTACTTATTGTGCCTTTGAGGAAGTGACAAAAACAAACAAAAAAAATCCATACCCTCATTTCATACTGCCCCATCTGTTAGTTCTGGACTGCAAAACAGCTTGTTTTTATGAAAGAAAGAGCAGACAAGTGCTTGCTGTTGCTGTTTGTCTTACAAAGCACAGCCTAGAATGGGGATATATTGAGCTTTTCATTGAGCCAATCTGAAGCAAAAATCCTGCTGTGCTCCATACTGATGTGCCTGAGAGCTGTATTTTATCAGTCTGGAAGCTATTTTTTTTCTGACAAAACAGTGTTTAAAAGCTTTTATTAAAAGGATCACCACATTCCTGGAGCCTGCTACCTCTTCTGCTTGCAGCCATGCAGGTGCCATCCTTTCCCAGCAATTGCTCCCACTGCAGCTGCTGCAGTAATTTATCATGGAAAGTAACATATGGAAGGTGTTTCTGGGTCTGAATTGTAGTAAGAGAAAAAGACAGCTTCAAAACTCCTTAACTGTTCTGTGCAGGACAAAAGGACCACAGTGACTGAGTCCCAGCCTGAAGGTACTGAGACACAAGGCTGAAGACTTAGTGCAACATCACTATCTAAATATGCCTTTTCCTTTTTCCAGTGGCTGACTCTTGTCATGTACACCTGAAGAGTTGTCAGAGCTCGACGTGCTGGTGAGAAATCTCCTTAGTACTGTACAAACAGAGAAGGGGTAGGTGCCCTTACATTGGCCATAGGGAACACGAGTTGGAGGGCTTTACAGACAGCTCACCCTGGGCTATGGTTGGATTAGAAAGGAAGAAAAAAGGTGAGAGCTGCAGTGTGGGGGTGCTGCAGTGTGAGGGAAAGGGACTGCAATGGCATCTGAGGGCTGCAAAGGGAAATGGACAGCAACTGGACTTCTGGCATTTTTTCCTTGGGGAATTGCTGATGGCACTACAGGGTGCTCAGACTGCCAGTGGCTCAGTTTGCCACTCGCCCTCTCTCCACGTGAGGTGACACATTTACAGTAGATCAATTAATAGAACTTAGCTTTTTTGTCTGCCTCTGAGGTGTGAAACTACTCCTGCACATGTGACCTAGAAGTGGCAAATTTAAAACCAACTAGAGGGTGGAGATGTGATCTTTTTGTCAGTTTGATAGCCCATTTTTAACTGCATTACATAATTTAGCTTACTTTTGAACAACAATCCCCACCTTGTGTTTCATTCGATGCTTGCTACCTCCATGCCAGGCCTGGAGAGAAGCATTAAGTGCCCCCAAAGTTTACTTAAATCTCCCGGCTTTGCTAATTGGTTCTAGAGAAGGACTGTACCTTTCCTACAAAACTTGTCCCATTAATAAACCACCTCAGCCTCCTACTTTGGTTAATCCACTGGGATGCAGCTGTTCCCAGTTGCAGTGCTAAGGCATTAGTGCTGGTTCCAAACAGCTGGCGCTGAGGAGAGAACAGAGTTGATAACCGATCCTTAGAGAAAGGACATGGTGAAGAACCAGAAGTGCCCGGCTGATGTGCTGAGATTGGACCCAGAAACTCACTGTGCACCTTTGGGCAAAGTCACAGGCTTGCCTTATCAACCCTGTTCAAAATCTGAGTGGAAAAAAAAAAAAACAAAACCAAACTCAGGGTCTTCATTGGAATTCAGAGACTGCATCCATGTGAGGCTTTCTATAGACAGATTTTGTGATCATAAATAATACATAAACAGAACGTCTGGTATCTCACGTCCTGTTTCTGAAGGCAGTTGACATTGAATGCCAGCTTCAATGAGAAGTTAGAAGGGAAAATAGATAATAAATCCCAATCCCAGGGAGACAGAGAGGTGGATTCAGACCCAAGGCTCTGTGCCTTTCACCCTTGGCTCCAGAACAGTGTTCATGCCCAGCTGCTCCCCTGACTTGGCTGCTAATTGCAGCTGCTGTGCTCAGCTGCTGCAGGAGCTGGGCCTCACTGCTCAACACTGTGATGCTTTCACCCTTCCAAGTGTGTTTGTAGTTATTTACCTGAAGGTTTGCCCTTTGCAGACTTGCCTCGGACAGCACACCTTCCCTTTGTCACAACAAAGCTGTATTTTGGTGTATTCATGCTGTGTAGAAGCAGGTTATTAACAACACAGCACCCACCCCTTGCACCACATGGTGTTATTAGGTAAATATGAGACTAGAAGGATCTCACTTTGGGGATTAAGTTGCTTAAATTACTGCCTGCAAATGATATTCATAGTCTATTTAGTCTCCTTTTCTCCTTTCATGAATCATTCATAAACCGATCATAACTTCTGCAAATAGATCATTAATCATAATTTTCACTTACCAGTTTTGAATGAAATTTTGCCTGTAGGGTGTTTGTAAGCTTTCACTTCAGCAGTTCCCCACTTGCTTGCAAATGGTGGTTGGGCAGCAACAGCATGGGCCCCTCAGAGGACAGAAACTCTTCAAACTACAGCCAGACAAATCATGAGTAGTGTGGAAGAACACACGGATTGTGTTGCAAAATTCTGATGTGCAAAATAGCCTCAATGATTTCCAAAGCCTGACCTCCAGATGTCTGTGTTCTGAGCAAGTCTCTTTACCTCTCTTTCAGGTGGCTTTTCTCCAATTTGGTATGAGGCACCTCCAGGTTATCCCATTAACAGCCATCCATGGGGCTCTAGAAAAAACAAACGCTGCAGGCATGAAGCTGAGTTTTCTTATTTGCTTACATGTCACGGTACTTAAAACTGAAAAATGTCTGTAACTTCTCAGTAACCTGCACAGAAACTTCACCTCCATTCTTTAAGCACGATGATAAAAGTGATCTGATGTTCCATTCTACTCATCTACTGGGGCCAGCCTGGCATTTTTTTTTTAGTGGTGGGGGTATCACCTTTTGTAGCACCCTGAGGAAATGTTATATGCTACAGTTTCAGGGCACCTACCCGGCTCCCTTCCACATGAGACTAACTTCCACGTGAGGCTGATGCTCATTAAACAAAGAACATAGCCATCCACTTTAGGAAATAGCATTTCCTTGTTTAATATGCCATATATTAGATTCAGTGCTATTCACCACATGCCAAGCTGACACAGAAACACCTCTGAAACCAAGCTGGTTGTGTGAGAAGAAAGACTGCTGTGCAAATAGCAATATGTGTTTAAAAGGAATGCGTTTGGGAAAGGAGATGGGGATCTCTTTGGGAGGAACTGTTTGACCGTTCAGGGGATGAAGGCATCTTCCTGTGAACATCTGTACCTCAAGGCATACAGCAGGCCACAGCTCCAGCCCTCTCTTAATGTCCGTTTAATAGAAGCAAGTGCTAGAGAAGGCAGATGTCAGCACTCACTCATCTCTGCTGCCCGGAGGTGGAAGCACAACGTTGCAGACACTTCTTCATAGATAGCAGACACTTTCTAAAGCCAAAGTTCAGAGTATGGGATAAAGGAATTCAGTTTCCATTAAATCACATCTGGAAAAATCACTTCTGTATTTCTGGTGCAGTTTCATTTGTTACAGCTTTGGGGGATGGGGGGGAGGTCGTGCTGTTGGGAACAGCTCAAGACGCAGTTTGCTGTCCATGCAGGCTCTCCAGGACGTGCCTGCAGTGCTGCTGGGCCAACAGTGGCCACATTCCCAGTGACCTGTATTAGCAGCATTCAAGAGTTGCTCATAAATTGCATAATTTACCTGATGAATGGACTGAGATGGTGATTTTGTGTGAGATGTTAAGCACGAGCATGTGGATATTTCAGTATAATAATGCGTTTCTGCCATACCACTAACCAGAAATCACTGCCATTAGGCATTCGTGGCTTTCAAGATACTTTGTGGGTGAATTGGTTCTGTTGTTGTCTTGGTGGGGGAACTGAGGTGTAGAAGAGTTCTTTATTTCTCTAAGTCAATAGCAGAGCAAAAAAAGAGTAAGAGAAGGGCAGGATTGCTGAAACCCCCGTTTAATTTTGACTGAACGACCGGAGAGCCTTTAGAAAGGCCTAGGCTCAACCAGGGAGGGGCACAGTTAGTAGGGATGGACATTGTGATCTTAGAGATCCTTTCCAGCCTCAATGATTCTATGATCCACTCCTTGGAGAAACAGGCAAACTCCTCACTGTCTTCCTGGGCAAAACCCCACAACCAAAGACATTCAGAGCTTCAGCCAGTTGGAGCCGCTCGGCCAAAGCACCTGAATGAAACTTTTTCTCCCTTTCACTTGTGAAATGGATGGGTTGGAGAAGAACCCTTGAGAAAGAGCACAGCAGTAAACCCTCTGCACTCTTGATAGGGCAGCACACCCATGAGCCTTACCTCATTTTAATTTGTAATTTAAGAGGTGTGTTTTAACGACTCAATTATTAGGGAAATATCTCTCATTCAGTCTCTTCAATTCCTCTTAAAAACCCGTTTCTCCTGTTCTCACCTCCGGGAAGTTTAAGCACCGACAGTTTAGCTGAGAAGGAAGGGGCTACTTAAGGAAGGGGCTGCTTGCCCACCCCTGCTGTAGGCGCAGCAGCAGAGCCTCCCGCAGTCCCAGACGCGGGCTGCAGGTGGCACGCTTGATCTGCGGACTCGTTTCGAGGCTCTCCGAAGCAGCAGAGCCGAGCCGTTCCGTGGAGCATCCAGCAGGTGGACCTCGGGATGCGGGGTGTGGAGAAAAGAGCTGAAAAGCTTCAGCTGAGGACAAACCTGGGGGCTCCACCACCTCTCAGGTACCTTTTAGGAGTAAAAGCATTTGATGTAGCGCTTTTCTCAACACCTCTCTTCCCTTTGAGGCTTTTTTAATGGCTTAAATGGCAGTTTGGAAACAAACCCAATTCGCAGCTTGATGTGGCAATGCTAGATTCTTCCTTCCCTGTTTAAATACCGGCTCATGTTCTGCCATCAGCATGACAAGAGTGAGGAGAGCAGATGCTGCTGAAGCTACAGAGGAGGAAGCAGAGGATCTCATACTGCACTGAGCAGAGAAGCTGACCAGCAGGTTACACAGGATGGTTGGAGTTTCCCAAAATGACGACAGCTTGGTGGTTAGTGGTGGAATAATAGGAAATCATCTGTAGTTCAGGCCCATTGGCTTCTCAGCATCGCTCAAAGAACCTTGTGTGCTACCCTTGCAGACTGGATGTCTGGGTGTTCAGTTTGCTGGCTTATCCAGCTTGCCAGAAATATGACCAAAGGATGATTCAATATTTCAGATAAAATACACGCAGAGGTGACACATAATTAAGACAATAGTGGCTTCATGGCTCTTAGAGTCAAGACTGCAGCTTTCTGATAGAAGTGTGGCAATCTCAGCCTGACACACCTGGGTGAGGTACTTGCTGTCAGTGGTGGCATTCTGTGGGCCTCCACCACCTGGAACTTCACTTGAGCAAAGGAAAAGAGACTGAAGAGCTGAAAGGGGAGGAGGGGCTTTGGCTTTTGCCCATGGAGAAGGGCAGTCTGGCCCAGGGCAGGGTCCATGCAAAGGCTCTGGTTGATGACAAGAATATTAGGACTGTTCCTTCAGCAGCAGGCACTGGCTTCTCTCCAGATCCTTTGTAATTTCCACATCTCGTGTTCAATGTCTGTTTATCCTAAATTTGCTCAAATCCTGGGTATAATTCTGTGTTGGGGTGGGGGCATGTAATTCTAGTCAATGAACTACTTTCCCATAATTGCATTTGCCCACAGCTAGCCCTCTAATCTGCCTCTCCCCAAATCCCTACCAATCCTGCTGAATCCACTTACAGCTGCATATGCAGGAAGGGACCAAATCTGCAGGACTGGGGGGGGGGAGGGGGGGGGGGTGGGGGGGGCGGGGGGGGGGGGGGTCCAGGGATGCTTGTGTCCCAGCTGTCTCATCCCACTCCACTTCAATAGAGCCAATGTGGCATCAGCAGGAACCATCTGCTTGCTGCAACACCAGCATCATACCTACAAGGCGCTCATGTAACATCTTGCCCCCTTTTCTTCAGGAAAGGGAGCTGAATCACAACCTTTATCCACTGTGGGAACTTCCTCTCCTCTCACCATCTTGTATTCTTTTGGAGTGTGTCCAGAAGAGGGCCACAAAAATGGGCCAAGGGATGGAACACCTCCCTGTGAGGACAGGCTGAGAGAGCTGGGGCTGTGCAGCCTGGAGAAGGGAAGGGTACGGGCAGGCCTGAGAGCAGCCTGTCAACGTATCTAACATGTGGCTAGAAGAAAGAAGAGGGCATGCTCTACAGTGGGGTCTGCTGTGATAGGAAAAGGGGAAATGGTTTCAAAGTAAAAGAGGGGACATCGAGGTTGGGTATAGGGAAAAAGATTTTTACACTAAAGAGTGGTGAGGCACCGCACAGGCTGCGCAGAGAGGTGGTGGATGCCCCATCCTTGGAGACATCCAATGTAAGGCTGCATGGGGCTCTGAGCACCTGATGGAGCTGTGGGTGTCCCTGCTTACTGCAGGGCAGTTGGACCACATGGCCTTTAAGGGTCTCTTCCAACTCAAACCATTCTATGAAATAGACAATAAACATAATAACATTCTTACACTTGGAAATAGAGATTACAGTTTTACAGTTTTTTTACATGCTTTGCTGCATGAAGAAATTCAGATAAGGAAGCAGAATTCTGGCACCTCATTTGTCTCCACTTGGTAAATCCATGAAAAGCGATGGAGTGTGACTCCATCCCGGAGGTGTTCAAGAACCATGGAGATGTGGCACTGAGGGACATGGTCAGTGGGCATGGTAGGGATGGGTTGGTGGTTGGACATGATGATCTTAGTGGTCCTTTCCAACCTTAATGACTCTGTGATTCTGTGAAAACTGGCCAATGAGCGGGCTCTGCAAACAAGTGCCTTGTAGGGAGCTCATTCCCACAGCTCCTCTGTGCTGCCCCTTTCTCAGCGCAGGAAGCCATCAGCAGCACTTGCAGGTTGCCAGCTCTTCCTGCTTTGTTTCAAGCACAGCTTAAAGGCTCTTCAAATGAAGTAATCTTCATTTCTGACAGCCACAACCCGGCAAGAAAGACACAACAGCTCTCCTTGAATTGCACAGCTGCCGTTTTGCATTTTTGAGTTTGGTACCCAGGGAATTAGAAATGTCAGTAGTTCCATTTAGTTTTTCCTATGGTAATACTAAAGTCTTCCAGCTGTGGGGGTAATTTCAAGCCAAAAACAAGCAAATGAAAGAGTTGAAGCCCAGTTTTGTGATCCTGTGATTCCCCTATAGGAAAAACCAACCTTGCCTACACTAAAACATTAAAGGTGTTTCAAGGATAGTGTTAGACAAACTCTTTCGTTGTGGGATCAGACATCTCCCTGGGCAGGGGAAGAAGAGGTGTTCCAGCTGAAGTCTGCTCAATATACATCATTTTCATGTTCCTACTTCAGTCCATTTTTCTTTTCAGCACAGCCTTTTTGATGCATTTCCCTTACAACTGCTCTGGACCATGGGGAACTGGCCACAGGCAGAGGCTTCTCGCTGCCTCTTCTTGCTTGGACTTTCAGATGGGAGTGAGGTTGGAGGTGTAAGAGGGATTGATGTGGGGGTAGAAATGACTACTGGGACAGAAATTGCAAAGAGATGTGAAAACTGGAGCTCTGAAGACTCTGTCTGCTGTTATCAAGGAGAACCCAGGGCTGTGAGCCTGCAGCATGGTGGGCAACAGCAAGGGTGAGGGAGCATGTTGGTTTTCTTAGAGGAAAAAGTGAGCAAGAATGACCTCGATGGAAAAATATTTTCTCTCCCTCTCTTCCTGCCTCGCAGACAAATATAGCACTACATGTTATGCAGAGGCAGTTCTCAAGCACGGTTGGAATGAGCGACTTTGGAGGCAAAGTGCTACCGCTTGTTTTTGTCTTTGGTATTGGGCTTTTATTTCCTTATTTCCTCTTGCAGCATGACACATCTCTGACAGCTGTTGCATCTCTGAGCCATAACAGCCCACACAGCATCTGCCCTGACACCAGCCCTGCCCTCGGAGCTGTGAGAGGCAGCCACCAGAGCATCACGGTGCTGCAAAATGCTGGAGCCCAGTGTGGTCCCCATCCTGAAACCTGCATGAGGTGAAATCCTCTTGGGAGCACCTGGAACGTGATACCTTGGCTGTGGTGCTCAGTGTAGAGCCAGGAGCCCAGCAAAGGGCCATGGGCTTCCCTGGACCAAGAGAAGATGTAGGAGCCAGGGCAGGGTCCTATTGTGCTGCCCATTGCAGGGCAATGAGAATAACTGTGGCTCTTCCAAACATGACTGATGGGGAAAGATAGGTTGAGCTGGGATTAGAAAAGATGCCAACTGTTTGAAGAAAGATAGAAACTGAATATTAGAAAGACCTCTCCAGCATTCAGTGAAGGCCATACTAGACTGGTTGGAGATCTCTCCAGCAGATCTGTCCAGGAGTTGGTCAGACAATACCTGTCCACAGAGATATATAACACAGGCAATTGTCTCTCTTGGCAGATTGACTGCTCAGTCTTACATCACCCAGATGCTTTTCCTGCTGCCTCATTTGTGCACTGGG